TTTCTTCTACACTGGAAGCTCTTGTCGTCAAGTCAAATTCCTTGTGTGTGTAAACATACTTGGTAATAAAGCTCTTCTGATTCTGATTCTGATTCTGAAGTGTTATATTACATCCCTACTGTGTTATTCCTATGTATGTATGTCTTATCATGTATGTCTGCACTATGTTTGTACTTTCTTCTACACTGGAAGCTCTTGTCGTCAAGTCAAATTCCTTGTGTGTGTAAACATACTTGGTAATAAAGCTCTTCTGATTCTGATTCTGAGGAGAAATAAATCTGTATCATTTGGTCTAAACCAGTTGTTTGTTAATAATTGATCTGAAAAGGTAACAGGAGAATGAGCTCAGTGTCTCCTCACAGTCTTACCTGACGTAAGCACACAGTCGACATCTCTGGTCTCTAGGATGCTGTTGTAGAATTCCTCTCTCACAGCTTCAAGCTTTTTATCAAAGCAGGGAGCCACCACCACATGGAAAATCTGATCTGGGGTCAGCTTCTACAAAGATAACACAGATTCGGTGCCTCATACAGTCACCACTAATAAGAAATGGACAGTTTTACATGGTAGTGATACAGGTGATACAGTAAATACAAAGGTCTACAGGCAGTGTGTCCACATTTTTGACAAATACAGTTCTATGACTTTTCGAAAATGATTCGATTTTTTTTATTAATAATCACAATTTCTCTACTAATATTTGGAATATATTTTAAATATTACACTCAGTATAAAAATGAACATTTTAGAGCAAAGCTAAACTAGCAAAACAGGTTTTCCAGTGAGCCATAGAAACCTCTCACCTGTTGTCTGGCAAAAAAGTCTTTGACCAAGGAGCCCATGATCTGTTGAGGTGATCTTGCGGTGCAGATGTGTGGTGTGACCAGGCTACCAAGAACACGCTCTGCATAGCGAATCCATCCTGCGCAAAACACACACACAATTGCGCATTTAACAAATGAATTAAGCATTTATATATATTTGTATATCTCTCTAATCTTTAGATGTTTACTACATACAGCAACTAGTGACAACAGTAAGCAATACTGACTATTTTATCTGACAATACTGCTTTGATATTCTCATACCAAAAATAATGTGTAGTTAATTTTTTACATTACTATTTTTGAGGAAAATGAAAGTGACCACCATTCAGTGCTATGAGAAGGTGAAACATAATATGAGATTTATTTATATTTGACCAAAATGCAAGCTCTGTATTCAGTAATTATGCACTAAACAAATCATGACAAAATTACTGTACCTTGAACCCATATATGGTACTACAGTAAAAAAAAAAAAAAAAATCACACACATATATATATATATATATAAACTGTCATTGAACTAAATATACTGCAAGTCACACTGACTGGATAAACACATCAGCTGAGTGAGTTAATAATCATCCATGATGAAAAAGAAATAATAGCCACTGAGAGCGAGGAGGAAAGTTGTGAAAAGTGCAGGAAGGGTGTGTGAGGCAGCTTTCACTCATCTATCTCACAGCTGCAGAATGCTGTGGCTATCTAACACAGTCCCACCCATTAACACACAACCCACACTTATTGCACCACATTTGGCATTTGGCTCTTATCTACATTTAGAAACAAAATGTTTGAGAAACACAAAGACTTGAGGTTCACACAAAGGTGTTTAATTGTGTTGCAGGAAAGATGTCAGTTGGCAACCACTTCACCTATCATTTTCAGGAGTTTTCCAATGATATGAAGATCAAATTGAAATCTGCAGACTTCTTGCATTCAAAACTGAAAGCATAATCAAATGAGCTAATATTGATTTTATAAATGAACATGCAATGCGGTGAAAATCTGCAGAGATTCTGTGTGGACCTACTTGCACATTGCCATTTTGATAGCTTTATATTAGCATAAGCGCTTTCTGGTGAAATGAGACCTTACAATGTGTGTTAGATGAGCTTAAGTGGTTATCACGATGGTCTTACCTGGACATGAGGATGTGAACATTGGCATGGCATTAGAATTGTGAAGTTTACGACGGTAACGCTGAACAAATTCTCTCTGGCTTTCTAAAATGCTAAAACTTGCAGCTACTGTAGTGTCAAAGACATAATGAACCCCTAAGGAGACAGATGAAAGAGGCCTTTAAAACAGTATGAAAGAACACATATACCACGTAGCAGGGTTATCGTCATTAACTAAAACTATTAAAAACATTTATAACTGAAATCTAAAATAAATAAAAATTTAAACATTAGATGGAAAAACTGAAACTAAAAAATGAGATATGTTTCCTTGGCAACTTGGTAATTAGAATAAGCTTAAAATACAAAAATTACTAGCTGTAAATAAACAAACTAGAACTGAAAATTAAACTAAAATGGAAATATTATAATTAAAATATTAAAATGAAAGCTAATCCGAAATAATAATAAAAACTATAGTAGTATATAAAAGATACTGAAATAACACTTGTGTGTACAAATATTTAAGACAGTTATTAGCTTAGTCAGATTGCACGTGGCAAATGTTTACTACAATATGTGAACATTTTGATTAAGGAGGTTGGCAAAGTGACAGTGACTTCAAGGCAAATATGGCGTCCAGACGTACCCACACTCTTTAGGAAGCCACAGAGTTTCTTTGCAGCTGCTGGAACATCCAGCTGAAACTTAATAGCAAAAAATGGCAGTGACTGGGGACACACAGACACCACGAGAATTTTGTGCTTCGAAGTGTCACATTTCTGCCAAAGACATAAAAATAACAACATGAGATACGTCCACACAGATCATCTTTTCAGATTCTGACATTTTCCAGGCTTACACTACCTTATTGAGGGCAAGCACGTGGTTGATCTCATCCAGATTTTGCTGAGAAATTCTCTGGCCTTCGTTCTCCGATAAACAGCCGTCACAGGCCAGACACGCGCTCAACAACACCTGCTGAACTGAGGTAGACTCTTTCACCTGAGAAAAACCATGAATCAGATTATCAACATCCACACGTCCAAAACAAACATCCTCCCCCAAACCGAACACAAACAAAACAACAGATGCAAACCACAGCTTATCAGATGAGTGAAACTCAATGAGTGTGTCTGACACATATTATATATATATATATAAAAATGAGAAATACCTCTCCAGTGGCAACACCTTTCTCTTGCAGTGAGTTTATTCCTTCATCACTCTGTTTCTTGTTGCACTAAGAGGTGGAATTGAGGAGAAAATAAACAGTGATTAGTGACCAAGCAATACATGGGTGACATAAAATAAAACAGAGAAGAGCCTCTGATTCAGACAGAAACCAAAACAGGATACACAAGTATTAAATGGATTTATTACCTGTTTAGTGCAATTCTCACACTTTTCTTTTCTCCGTCCTATACTGACTTCAGACATTGTATAAGGAGCTCCTGATATGTTCAGTGCCATAAATTATTCCCTGTAAAAGATAATAAAACCGTCTCACTGCAGCTTTCTGTATTTATAGAGCATTCTGGATGTTATATGACACCAAAACACATATTTAACCTAAAGAGGGGGGTTAGAGTTAAAATACAGTTACAAAAAGCCCGTTATTAACCTCAAACATTCACCTAAGCACCAATTTAAGGGAAATGTGATAATTTTAGGTTCCCATGATGTGCTCTATTCAGTTTCACCTGATTACTGTTTTGAGGATCTCTCATGCTTTTGTACATAATCACAGGTTAAGCGGTTGGATTACATTCATTTCTCAGCATGTAATAGGGTAACGTTAATAAATAAACATTATCAAAAACTCTGAGGACTCATTAGATAACCCGTGACATTACTTAACCACCTGTCCTATAACCTAACGTTACCGACTGTCTGTGTACTAAATAACCTAACCCTAACTACAACAATACACAAACAGGCCACCCAACTCACATCAAAAAAATCACATGAAGCCCTTATTGTTCAGGGGGAGACGAAACAGCAGTAGGTCTTTACAGCAGGAACTTCTCCTATTGACACTTGAAAGCGCGAGCTGGTCATCAGAAAACAGCGCACTGCGGTCATATAACACTGATGTTCATCCAGTCATCCGTTTCACAACTCCGGCTAATCCTAATGGTACACATTTCGGGTAGAAGGATCTCGGCTCGTCTTGACACCGGCGCATCCAACTCCATCGTCCTTTAGCGGTGTCCGATTCGTGAATGAACCGTCCTTTTGAGTCGGATCTTTTTAATGAATCGCTTGAGCCGTTGAACCGAGTCACTGATTAATTGAACCAATCATGTCCGATTCGTAAAGATTTATGATTCATGATGATTAAACGACATTGTCGTACGTTCGACTCGCTGTGACCCCGGTTAACAATCAAATACTGTTTTAGTATTGTTTAAAGTGCAAATTCTATTTATCTAAATGACTTTATTACGAGTCGAATCATGGCTGCAACAAAATGAACAAGGGACATAATAAATTTACAATAAGCATCCCTTCCCAGTTAACACAGTTTAATAGAAAAATGTGCCTACAGTCATATGCCACACACCGGTATGTCAGTGACTAAGTGATGGACGTAAAAGAACCTCTGAATTGTCTCCTTGAACCAGTTCATAGAATCGAACTGTTTGAAAGAGCCGATTCGCGAGAATGACTCCTTGCCACGCATGCGTAAATCAGCAACTCTGATGTTAATTCCTCCTGAACCGGTCAAACAATGCTTGACTTCCCGTAAATAATATTTTTAGTCGTATATTTTGGGATAGTTATGCCATATATGAAATTGTAATAAGTGCATTGCATCAGTTACTAAAACAGTTGGGATTTTATAGACATTTCCAACCATGGGTTAACTGTTAGTGCAGGCTTAAATTAATCACGAACTTGTTATTCTTTTCATACATATATTTCAGATTATTCACGAATCACGAGCCACGACACAAGCTCTCTTTGAACTTTAAGAATGAGGTCACAATCGTGCAGGAAGGGGGCGTCTTTTAGAGGGCGGGCTCCTTTAATAGATTTTATCCAATCAGAACGGAAACCGCTGAGCGGAAATCAACGTCATTTGAAGGCGGGGTTATGCGTGTTGCATGATCTACACATTTTATTTCCTTAATCTGTTTTGCCCCAGTTTTCTATTGCAAATTTCCTGAATTTAGATTTGATATATTTTGAAAATAATAAGATTTATTTGTCTGAAAGAGGAACGCGACTTATTAAGGTAAGTAAGATGTCAGATGCTTTCACATGCTGTCAGTTAATGGCAGGACATCTATATGATCACATTAATGAGGGTGTTGTCCTTGTGCCATTTCAAACGTATATGAAACTGATCGGGTTTATTATGATTATATATAGTATGCTGTTCATAAAACACCTTTGTGCAGTATTATGTTATGATGAGTGCAGTGAGGATATCTCCAACTAGATCTTTTATGTGTATTTTTGTGTTCCAAAACATTTGAAATGTATTTTCACAGATGGGTTATATGGTCGTGGAGAAACACACATCTGATCTTCTCCATCTGAAGAGGTCTCCTGGGATTAGATCATGGTCCCTCCTTGTTGGTATGAGATCATTTTTAAAGGGGAATTTGGTGACTAGAAGTGTGTAGTCTAACATGTGCAACATGTGTACAGTATCTTTAAATGTCTTCCTACTTCCTCTTTTTGCAGGAATTGCTTCAGTTGGACTAGCAGCAGCCTATTACAGCGCTGGTGAGAAATGTTTCCTGAATGTCTAATAACCCTGGAAGTGAATAAAACAATGAAAGGAAGGATTTTTGTGATCCGTGTTGCTCATTTAGCTTTGTCCTTTTGTTGTAGACAGCATGTTATGGAAGATGTTCTATGTGACTGGCTGTTTTTTTGTAGCCCTACAGAATATGGAGGAATGGGAGGTGGGAGATGTTTTACACACACTACATCCGTCTTTAAGTGATGTATTCAGCTGTCCTGACTAACAGTCTGTTTCGTTTGTCCTTAGGAGGCAGTATTTGACAAATCTAAGTGTGAAATAGAATTAAAGACGTTTAGTCTCTATACCATGATATTGACTATGTGGAAAAGAGGACATGAGAAAGGTGAGTTTTGTGTCAACTGTTGATATTTGTTTTTGCACTACATGACTGGTCAAGTTAAATGTTGTTTTCTCTGGCTCAGTGGTGTTAGATCTGCGGCACCTGCGGGACGTGAGTGTTCAGGAGGAGAGGGTGAGGTATTTGGGGAAGGGTTACCTGTTGGTGATGCGTCTAGCGACAGGCTTCTCTCACCCTCTTACACAGAGTGCCACGCTGGGCTCACGGAGGTAATTCAAGCTATATATATATATATATATGTATGTGTTATGTTTTTAGATTTTTTAAATGTAATTCATTCCTGAGATCCAGTCTTCAGTGTCACATCATCCTTCAGAAAGCATTCTAACATGTTGGTTTGCTGCTCAAGAAACATTTCATCATTAATGTTGAAAAAAATGGTTGTTCTGCTTAGGGTTTTTTTTTGTGCAAACCGTGATACACTACCACTTAGTTGTTTTGACTAAGTAAGATTTAAAAAGACATCTATAATGATATAAAAGATTTCTATTTCAAAGAAATGTCCTTTTGAATCTTCCATTCAAAGAATCCTGAAAAAATGTCAACATAAATATTAAGCAGCAAAGATGTTTTTCAACATCGATAATAATAAGAACCATTATTAATATTTGACCACCAAATCAGAGTATTAGAATGATTTCTGATGGATCATGTGACACTGAAGACTGGAGTAATGGCTGCTGAATATGCAGCTTTTTAAAAATATATTAAAATAGATGTTATTTTATATTGTAACAATAAATAGCAATATAACAAGTACATATTTATATTAAAAACATCCTATTTTTTATACTAAAATAGTACTTTTCAGGGTACTCAAAGAAGCTTTACAAGAGATAAAAACAGTAAAGTACATTAATACCATTTTTTCTTACATTCAGTGATGTGGAGGCACTTGCTGCACTTCTGAAGCGCTTCTTGGGTCTTGAAGAGTTACAGCAGCGTTTGGCAGAAGAAGAGTTTCCTGATGACGACGACATTGAAGATCTGGGATTGGGCGATAGCAGTGATTCAAAAGATGAAGATGAACTTTAAAAACCTCAGGGATAGATGGAAAATGGTGGAAGACACTGTATCAAGCCTTACATGAAACAACCAAACATTCCAGGCTTACGAACATCCTGATGACAATCTCAAAGCATTATCTGTTAATGTGGCGATGCATTTTCACTTGCATCTTCAAAGAGGCATTACCAGATGACATTCAGTACTTCTGCAAGATTTCTCTGTATACTTTGCTGCGTGCATAACTAATTCAACAGTTTGTGAAATAACCGCATGAAGAATTCCCTTTCTTTGGTCAAAGATCAGGTGGTCATGTGCTCTGATCCTCCATGCACGCCCACTCAAGTTCACACTGTGCCTTTATACACTGCTTGAATGTTAAGCCCTTAGTGGTTTGTGATTTTAATTTTCTTTTTGTAAATGTGTAAATATTATTTTTGATTCGAAATCATTTTATTTTTTAAGACTCTCAAGCAAGAAAAAGAATTTTAAACATGGCAGCTGCTTCGAAATCAATTGTCTTCAAAGGGGATGGTTTTTAAAATTGATGTGGCCACTTTTTTTATTAGATAACGAGTATACTTTGTTACACATTTCACTTTTGTTTATAATAAAATCATTTGATAACATTGGTTTAAACTGGATTATCATAGCTTTTAGTTTAGCTTGGTTGCATAATCATTAAATCTGTAGGACTGGAATATTCAATGTGGTTGGGAAAAAAACAAACCAGTAGAATCTGGATGTGTTATGTTAGTAATAGCTTTTTTTATTGGACTAGTACAATAAATACTGGAAAAATGACAGTAAAAGAAAAATAATTCAATAATAGAAAAACAAACACTATAGCTCTAAACATCGAAAGAAATCACAATTCGTCACCGACTTGAACACTTAAGTCTCAGAAATGTGTAGTGATTTGCTTTCTAACAGGAGACCTTCCTCTGTTGTGACAGAAAGATAAAGTCATTCATCCCCAATTTCACTCCTACACCAAATAACACTTCATTCTGACAAGATTTAGACTAAAATATGATTTGCACTGTATGAACTGAGTTTGTGTTTAATGTGGACCTAGCCACAAAAATTTACTACAACTAATGCCTTAAGTACTAAAGCAGTCAATTAATTACAGATCATTTTGGGAGAACATATACATCTGAGAGACACCTGGAACAAGTCCTCAAAAAGAGGATTAGAAACGTCAATACAATATTAATACTCCAGTTATTGGTCTACAGTTAAGCAGCGAAGCCGCTTGATGATTCACTCTGGATTGCCAAGCATTTCACATCAGTGTCATATTTGCATTTTGTTTTTAGCTTGTGCAATAGTTAGACAATATGTATTTTTTTAAGTAACAAATATTCCATAATTAACTCCTAACTTCAACGTAAACATTAATAAGAAATCAATTAACCAGATCTCATAATGGTTACTCTCATCCAGGAATGTTCTTTTCATACATATCTTCCCTTGTAAATACACATCAATTGCACAATTATTGCAGCATAATTTTGGATGTTCAGCAACAACAAGAGAACCAGCAAATATCATTCAGAGCAGAAAAACAATGCTACAGTAAACATAGGCGATTTTAACTAGTACTGCTAAAGCATCAGTAACCACTCACAATTGGTAAACAACAATCTCAGCTATGTGCGTAACTAGATTCCTGATGTCTAATATGTGGATTCGAATACAGCGAGGCCTTGACTTGCAGTCCGCATCATTAGGTTGGATATAGAAATACGTACGAACATGAATGCAGTTTTGACAGAACCTTTAGCAGACTTACGCAGGTTAGACAGGGTCAGTGATCACTACATCTAGGCACTACTTAGGGTAAATGGCACTTAACTACGCACCCATGCTAGAAATCAGTGATATTTTAGTTTTCACAGCAACGTATGATGATTTATAGAAGACAATGAATAGCTGATTGAATCTTAAACGATAAAGCAAGTAAACAGACATGCGCTTTTGTTCCCAGCGTGGAATATAAACGTTTAAGTGAGAAGTAAAGGGTGATAAGCAGCTAAGATGTCAAGAGAATGAGAAAGATGAGAAGGAAAAGGCTGTCATGTGGGTGAGAGGTACGAAGAAATCACAAACGTGCATGCTTTAATACGCCAGGACACAGTTTTGGTTCGTCAGGTGAAACAACAGAGTAAGGGTGAAAAAAAAGAAGTAAAAGATGTTTGCCAGAAAGGTTCAGCCCTCTCTGGTGCCGACTCTGGGTTCAGCCAGTGAGCTGTGGATGATGCCTGAGATGGACACCACTCCCTCTCCCTCTAGGAAGGTCCGATGGTCTCCCTCGATCACATGAACTGACACCTTCCCATCACACACCTGCAGACACAACCCAATCCAATTATTAACACTGCAGGGATGCATTATGGCAACAAACACAACAGCGAGCTTAAAGGTACAATATGTAAGTTTTCACCGCTAGAGGGCGCGTATTCAAAACAAACAAAGAAACAAAGGCGTAGTTTGATGACGCCGTGACTTGAGTGTGGAATCATGGGAGTTGTCGTCTTCATCCCCACAGCCGACGCAATCCGACGGGACTCAGGCAGAAATCATGTTCATGGATGAGCTAATGTATTAAAGATTTATTAACATCGTAGTATGAAGCAGAGTGAGGCGGAAAGACGTCGAAGCGAAACGAGGCCGCTGAAGCAATTGCTAATGAGAGAGGAGAGTGACACACGGCTCGAAAGCAGCGGAGCTTTTATTATGCCACACTTTAGCGCTTCCGCTCCTTCCGGTCGTGCGTATGTGGGGTAAAGCAGCGCTGGTTTAGATACGTTTGAAAGTTCTGTTATAATGCTACTCTGTGCGGTCGTCACCTGTCTAATAAAACGCACAACATATTAAAGCGTCTTTGGTGTTTCCATGTTTTCTACAAAACAAAACCGGAAATCGAGGGGTTATGACGTCATTGGCAGGCGACACAATGACACTATAGACACAGTCCGTGTCACTAGTTAAAATTGCTTATTTCTCTGGATTTAAACATTCTTCGAAACATTTGGGATAATGTAAGTACACAAGTCAGCAAAATATATAACACTGTTCTAGTGGTTTTTGGATATTTTAATAAAAAAATCTTACATATTGTGCCTTTAAAGTCTTTCTCTCAGCATGATCTCCTTCCCAGATTCAGAAGAACGTCCTGTGCAATTACCTTAACAATGCTTCCTGCACACAGACCAGGACTAGAGCTAGGTCTCAAAGGTACAGAGCCCCGCACATGACATGCAAGAAAAAATAAATAAATCGTGCGCACGATTTACTAATTCGTTCCCTCGATGTACTAAAACGTGCACACGATTACTATTTTGTTCCCTTGATTTGCTAAATCGTGTGCACAATTTACTAATTCATTCTCTCGATTTATAAATCGTGTGCACGATTTAGCAAATCGAGGGAATGAATTTAGTAAATCGTGCGCACAATTTATAAATCGAGGGAACGAAATAGTAAATCGTGCACACGACTTAGCCTACTATTTTTTTCCTGCATGCCATGTGCGGGGCTCCATACAAAGGTGATCACAGTATGAAATGTCTTCAAATTTTGCTTTTTTTCTCACTGGGTCCGAATCTGTTCTTGTTTGTGGAAAACACTGTTGCTGGTAGCTAATATTCTTTTATAATTGTTCTGTTAAAGATTTTATTATGATTGTATTTTCAAAATATAAATAGTACTTTTCAATGTATAAAATATGTATCTTTTTTTTCATTAAATTTACCTAGTAGAATCCGGTTCTTGATTTACCAAAAAACAAAACACAGATTTAACCATTTTCACATAATTATAAAATAGGTTTGTCTAAAAAAAAAAAAAAAAAAAAGAATTCCTGATAGCTTGAAGAACTAGTACCATATAAAAGGTAAAAAAAAAAATTCAGTAATATTACTAAAAATTATGTTTAAAATAAAATATATATTTCAAATAAATGCTGTACCCACAAAAATACTAATTAAAAAAAAAAAAAATCTACTGTGAAAATAAAACCTATGCACCAAATCAGCATATAAGAATGATCTCTGAAGGATCATGTGACACTTAAGACTAGAGTATTATAGTTGTGGTCCATATCTTTACCTCGTGCAGTTTGTAGTCAGATCCTAAACCATCACCGTACTCGCTGCTGGCCTTGGCTCTCAGCAGGGTGACATTGCCGTGATACTTGGAAGTTGGAACATAGCGGTCGGCGGCCTTCAGTTTGTGGTAAAATGTAGAAGCAGCAAAATAGAGCATATCTCGGCTGACATTTTTATGGCTGGATGTGATCAGATCAACAGCCTTGTTCACACGAGCCTCCAGGTCTGACAGAGGTAACAATGTCTCCAACAGCTGTGTGAAAGGTTAAGGATACAGAGACAGCATTAGCTTTAGCACTGAATTAATGTGACTGAACTGTAGTTAAGATACAGTCTATTTAGAAAAGACCATTTTAAATAAATTAAATGGTCAAAAATCTTTTAAAGACTGAACCACAAAGTAACAGTTGTTCACGTACCTTGTTGTACTCAATGCCAGTGAACTGTTGGATAAAAGCACACAGAGCTTCAGTCTCAGCCTCGGACTCTTTTCCAGGGGTCAGTTTGGCTCTGTAACTCTGTCAAAGAAAAAACAAAAATGATGACCATGTGACCTGGCCCACCAAATTTTTCTGTTTTGTGCTTTCTGAGCTCTTTTATGGCACCTGTGTATAAGCTGCCACGTAAGAGTGCGAGCCGTCAAACAGGAAGAGGTATTCCACTGGGCATTTGGCTGCCTGCAGCTGTGAGCACATCTCAAAAGCCACACATGCACCGAACGAGTAACCAGCGATGCTATACGGCCCCTCTGGCTGCACCTGCCTCACGCACTCCACGTAATAAGTGGCAAGACTCTGGATACTGTCTAGAGGAGCGGCTGCAGATGGACAAAACACATAAAACAGAAAAAAATGTAACGGGACTGAATTTGAACAAAAAAAAAAAATAGATAAAATAATCATTAAACAATTAAGTTTTAAACAAATATTACTGATAAAGAAATTAAAACCATATAAAAGGCAAAAACTTCAGTAATATCACATATAGTAATGTTTAAATTAGATATTATTAATTATTCAGAATGCATATATATATATTTTTTTTTTTTCCCCAAGTGTTTACATTTTCACCTAACCACACTGAAAATAAAATGAAGTTAAATTTAATTAAAATAAAAGTCATGTTGAGCGAGTAAACTGCCTTTCACCCAAGTGTAACAGTGAAAAGTGATCCTTGATCTTGTGTTTGTACCTTTGGTGCACTGCAGGCCATAGCACGGCACACTAAGCTTGCTGGTGAGAGTGCGGAAGGCAGCAATAGAGCCCTCGATGGGGTGAACGAGGAATAAGGGCCTTTCGGCACTCTGGACCTCGTTCAGCGGGGCCACTGTGGGGCTGTCTGGGTTCACCAGCATCCGGCTCAGATCTGACTCCAGCAGAGCTTGAGCACCAGATCGCTTTGCAGGAGCAATTCGGGACTCTGAGAGAAACAGAATGAGAGAGATTTAATATATTGATGCATTATTCTCCAAATAATGCAATGTTTCTTACAAAACATGAAATTAGACCTCCTGAATTTATTTTCAGAATTATCTTTTTAGCAACTTCCCAATAGCTTATTCAAGATACGGTGAATAACAAAAAATGTTCTGGAAAAAAACATAAGGGTATCGATATTGGCATTGACACGAATCACATGCTCACCATCTTTCCCTCCTGATTGGCTGGAAAGCTCCCGTAGCTTATTAACGGTTAGCTGTCGGATTTCCCTCATTGCCATGACAATGTCATAGTCCCTCTCCAGTGTCTGTCTAACCTCAACACCCATTAGCGAATCGAGACCCAGATCAGCCAATGAGGCATCGGCATTCAGACTGTTCACATCACGCACACCTGAACAGAAGAGGTGACACTGTAACTTCGAAAAGCATGAAAAAGTGTAGCTTATCAGATGTTTGAATATTTCAGGTCTGAGCTTTTACCCAGAATATGAGCCACAGCCTCCACCAGGTCCCTCTGTCCGCTTCCTTCTCCTTTAGCGACCATCACTTTCTCCGCCAACACAAAGCTGGACATTACAGGCCTCTGCTGGCACAGGAACCTATCCAGTACTTCCAAACAGGAAGACATGCGTTGGGGCAACGTACCACCAATCACAGCATCATTGCCACCCATGGTCTCCAAGACAACACCCACATCTCCAATGGCACCCCACTGGATGGCCAAGCCCGGCAGGTTGTCGTGGCGGCGCTGCTCACACACTCGCTCCATGGTGGAGTTGGCAAAGCCGTAGTTGCTCTGGCCAGCGTTACCTCGGCCACAGCTGACCGATGAGAACACCACAAAGTGCTGAAGTTCTGGGCACTTCTGCCTAGTCACACTGTGGGGAAAAAAGGAGTCATTTATCAAAATTCGCCATAAGCCACAAGTGAACGGCTGAAGAAAGAAGATATTCAATCAAACCATTCCCTACCTGTCAAGATGGATGGTTCCACCGTATTTGGGTCTACTGACGTCAATGAAGTGCTGTGGGGTCAGATTCTCCAGCATGCCATCTTTAAGGACCTAGATGATAGAGAGAAATATCAGTTTTGTATTTGTTCTTACTTTGTCTACAAAGGAAAATGAACTGAAAGCAACAACTGAATGTTACCATGGCAAGGTGGAAGATGCCACCAACTGGACCCAAGCGGCAGGCCTCAGTGATGAGACGCTCCGTCCCTGCCATGGAGCTGACATCACTGGTGGACACAAGAACCTGAATGCCCATGGCCTGCCACTCTCGAATACGCTTGGCTTGATAACCTGTCGAGACAGCAAACGTTTTAGTGTGTTGCCCTAACCAACATCAGTGTTATTTTAGTATTATTTATATACTATTTTCGTATTTATTAATATTTTGAATTAGCTTATTTTTAGTTTTCATTTTAATTTAAGTTTTTAGTAATGTGTTATGGGCTTTTGCATTCTTATTTTTTATATATTTCTATTTATTATCATTTATTTATATTCCAGTTTTAGTCATTTTAGTATTTCAACTTAAACTTATTTTATTTCAATTAGTTGCCAAGGGAACAGTTCCAATTTTCACTTAATTTAATTTAACTAAAATAATTACATTTTTTTATCTAATTTTTATATTTTAGTTTAGTTTAACTTTATTGTCTGTCCAGATTTCCTGAACAGAAATTCATCTTTGACACTGGCATAGAAAATACATCCTAACAAATAATACTACACATTCACATATCCCATTAAAAAAAAAAAAAAATTAATACAATACAATATATATCTATGCCCACACATATGCATACACATGTGTACACACACCTACCCAGAAAGATACCTCATGATAATACCTCAATTAAGAATTTGGTTTAAAACAGTCACCGCCAATGGTACAAATGATCTTTTATATAGGTTCTTTTAGCCAGCGGTATACGCAGCCTGCGCCCTGATTTCCTGAATTTTATTTTAGCTGTATTTGATTTTATATTTAATGAAAATAATTGTAATATTTTTTGTACTTAATGCTTTTGTCCATTTTTTTTACTTTTCTACCTAGCTTTCATTTTTATTTTTTTCAGTATAATTTCTTATGCATTTATTTCAGTATTTTGTCATTTTAGTACTTTAATTTAAACTTATTTTATTTCAGTTAATTGCAAAGACAATGTTTTAAATTTTCAAAATGTTCAAGTTTAAGCTTTTCTATCTAATTATTATATTTTATTTCAGTTTTATTTCAATTAATGAAAATTATTTTTAATAGTTTTTGTTTTAGTAATTGATGTGCTTTTGTCATTTTTATTCATTTTTGATGTGTTTTAATATTTCTATTTTAGCTTTATTTTATACTTATTACTGCTTAGGAAACTAACTGAAATAAATTAAATATAAATATCAAATAAATACGATTTAAATATAACTTCAGTTTTTTATTTAAATTAATTTTGTTTTAGTTAACAACAACACTGACCAACACTGACATGAAAACTGATCAAATCCTAGCGCATCTTTACCGTTGCGGATGCCAGAACGTGACGTCAGCACCAGTTTACGAGCACCTCTCTCAGTGAGCCATTGGGTCAACTCCAACCCGAAACCACCCAGGCCTCCAGTGATGATGTACGAGAGAGAGGCAGGGAAGAAGGTACGGCAGATAGCGGGAATAGAAAGAGGAGAGGCTGCAGGAACAGTGGTGCTTGTCTCCTCTGAACGTACCTGAGAGGTGAAAGGAGAAACAAGCAATTAGTAAAGTATAAGAAATTGGTGATATAAGAACATTTTTAGACAGGTTTATTAAAATTAACCACCGCCCTTACCTGCAGCAGGACTTTGCCGATGTGTTTGCCCTGAGCCATGTAGCGGAAGGCGTCCTCCACCTGGTTCCTCTCAAAGACAGTGGTACGTAATGGCTGAACGACTCCACTGGCGATTCCCTTTTTCAGAAGCTCAGATACCTCCTCCCATTCCCTGTTCCCCTCCTCAAACAAAGCATCCAGCAGGATGCCGTGGAAGGCCACGTTCTTTAGGAACAGAGCCATACCTGAATCAAGAACAATTGGACAAATACATTTAACACATGGAAGTAAGAGAATAATAGATCTAAGACGTTTGTTGATTGATTCAGGAATTGTTGTACATCTGGGATGCACCTAGTGGTGTGTTGTTGGAAAGGTCATATTTGCCGATCTCCAGGAAACGACCATGTCTGGCCAAACAACGCAAGCTGGCCTGCAGCTTCTCTTCAGCAAGGGAGTTTAATACCAAATCAACTCCTGAAAAAACACATACATATGGTGGTTTAATACTTCAATCCTCAGCAATATTTGGTGCAATGCTGCTGTGTATTCAGAGTCACTGCAATATACTCCATTCACCTTTGCCTTGAGTTTGGAGCATTACATGCTGTTCAAACGAGGCGTCTCTAGAATTAGCAAAAGATTCTGCCGTAAGCTGAGGGAATATTTCTTGCAGGTATGCCTTCTTCTCTCCAGACCCTGTATCAAAACAAGATACTCGTCAGCAGTGTTCACAGTTGCTTTAGTCATAGCTTTTTTCTTTTGACAAATAATTTTTTAAAATTTAGTTAATACTCTGCAGTGTCATATTTCATTTTAGCCAATTTCATTCTCACTAAAATAGTATCTAAAAAATAAAATTTAAAAAATAAAATTTAATTTAAGAATTATGAAAAGGTTGAACTGTAAATTCTTTATGCTTTGAATATTCTGTGTTTTAAATTGTGATGCACCAAAATAATTTTTTTTACTAAATAAATAAAGTTTTCTTTTAGCCGAAAACCAAAACCAAGAATTTTTAGTAGTTTGGTAATTGAAGTCTTTATGCTTTTCATATTGTCATGTGCTCAGGTGATTAACTAAAACCAGTCAAAGTAAAGATTTTAGTCTAGTCGCCTCTTGATATTTCAGGCTAAATGTCACTGTTTCAGTCAATAATTTTGGCCTTTCAAAAATGTTTCAGTTGAAACAGAAAATGTATGATTTCTGCTGTTCGGCCCTTAGCAATATTACACATTAAAGGAAAGGTTAAAAAAAATTATAAGAGCTGCATTGAAAGGAAAAAAAAAAAAAAAAAAAAAAAAACAAGGGACAAAATGACGCAGCGGGGAAGCAATCCATCTCAGTGATGAGAGATCACCGCGAGTCAGGACATTCACGTACGCCTGCTCTGTCAACTCCTCGCTAAGATCTAAACATGAATGCACAGAACAGAAGATGATCACAACATGCTCAAAAAACTATCCAATCAGAGTTACAATCTGAAGATGACAACCATTAAATCAAAGTCGCCAAGTTACTGTACTGTTGCTAATATGCTCCTACTATACCAATGGATCATGTGAGCTTCACTGTCTGCAATCCCACTAGTTGCTGTACATTCTGCATTGCCAAAAATCATCATAATTTCTGTCACTGATGTCAATTTACAATTAAATGCATTCATAATTATGTAATATTTACAATGAGAAGTAATAATACCATTAAATAAAAAAATATGATTAATATAAATTAATCAAATATTATTAATAAAAATTATATTAACAAATTACTATAAAGTACTGAAATACATTTACTAATAATACATTTATTCAATTGAATAAAAACAATTATTATTATGAAATAATAATCAATCCTTTATCACTGAAAGTCTTATATGACCTCCTATTTCACCTTGTGTTAACAACTGGTGTCTAAAAACACCCCACTGTCCATCACGGTACACGTTCATGACCAGATCCTTCTTTAGTAATGCCTTCATCTCCTTTTGGGTAGGAACAAGGGAGGGGACTTCAGCGCCTTTACTAAGATTAGAAACAAATGCACACCTATTGGGAAGGAGAAAAAAGACCATGTACATGAATACCACATTTATATCTATACAATTGCATAACTGTAACATCAAAAATATAATGACATAATAGTACAGTAGCATATGTGGAACACTAATTGCACAGGAAGTGGACGGACCGTATACGGTTGCCTCCGGGCTCCTGTCTGAGGCAGTTCACCATTCCCACCACTCCATTATGACCCTTAGTGGCAATGAGCCAGACTGGGATATCAGATGACTCAGCTAAAGTACTCTAACAAGAAAAAGGAATACAGAAAGGGTTATGCATTAGGATTTGTTTAACGAGTCTGCTGTTTGGTTTTAGCATGTTGCTACAGGATTGCCAAGTGTTATTAGTGGCCTTGGCAACACCATTAATGAGTTTGTATGATTAAAGTCGTGATGAAACTGAATTAGTGACTGATATTTTTCTGTATTGTGATGTACATCCGAGTGTAACAGATTATCGGAAAAGAAAAAAAAAAAGAAGGGTGGGGACTTGAGCAAATCTATAGGTTGTTAACTGACACGTGGGTGTTGTACTCAAAATGAATGCATGCTTGCAGTCAATAGTGGAGGGGCAGGGTTTAAACGATTGGAGAAGTTTTGCATACATCACCAGAGAGAAGGCTGTCATTTTCACCAGAAGAACAAGTTACGACATTTTAACATGATTAAACATTATGAGGTCACATTTATTAAAAAATGAGCTCATATACATGGATGAATAATTCACAACAAGATCTATAACAAGCATTTTCAAAACAGATTCATTTCATGTCAGCATTTCATGCTGACTTTAATACTCACCTTTAGAGTCTCCACCCATTTGTAGTCAGTAGGGTCCACAAAAATAAGGATAGGTTGATCCTGAGGGGACTGTGGGCGCCGGTGGCAGAGGAAGAGAGCAGAGCCGTAATAAGACTTTCTCAGCATGACCACATTTAAAGAGGCCTTTTGGAGGAGCTCCTCCCATTCAGTCTGAAAACAAAAAACAATTCTGTTTAGAACCCGAGAACTTTGCAATGGGCCAGACAAAACAAAATGAAAGAACAGACAGAACAATGCCAACTTATTTAATGCTGTTATTTAAATACAACATTGTAATTCAAATGTTGTGGATCTGACAGATTTAGCACTTTAGAGTTTTTAAGCACACACCTGTGTCAACAAACCCTCCTGGTTGTTTTGAGATGTGAGGAAGGCTACCGTCTCACCCAGAGTGTCTCCTCTCAGTAGGGTGTGGATCAAAACAAAACCGCCTTCTCTCGCAGCTGAAGTCAGGTTCTCTATCAGAAGTGCAGGGTTGGCCGTGTGCCCTGTCGCACAGTTACACACAACCAGGTCAGCCCCATCCAGACCACCCGCTGCTGGGCCCTGAAGAGGGTCCCACTGAGAAGATGAGATGCCCTGCTCCTCCAGGGAGCTCTGGTGTGCAGAAAGCTGGTCAATGGAGACGTCTGAAACAGTGTAGTCGAGATGCAACATCGGCTGGATATTGAGGAGACCAACAGTTCGAGAAAACACACGACCGTCTGCAGCTAGAGCCTGAAGGAGAAGAATACATGTTGAAAATTTCAAGCGTGTCATCCACCTCTGCCTATTTTCATCCTAAATAATCTATTCACCATACCTCCACAACTTTGAGTTTTCCAGGAGTGCTGTTCTCAAGGGCCGTGTCCAAGCAGTGACGTAGCGCCTGGGAGTCCAGCAGGCCATTGAGCAGAGGGTCCTGCAGCAGACAGTCTCTCTCCTTCTCCACCGTCTGTTCCAGCTCAGAGCGCAGGTTTCCGTTCAGCTCCAGTCCGCACAGCACAGAGAGCAGCCGCAACAGGCCTTTCTCCACCTCCGCTCCAATCAGCTGGCCCTCGGTCGCACCTTCTAACCCAGGGATGGAGATCTTCACTCCCTGATTGGCCAGCTTCCTCTGCAGACGCTGTACTAGACCTGCACATAAAACATGGGGAAAGTAAGTACAGTTCCACAGAAATAGAGGAAAATACCCCAAAAAATTTAAACTGGGGACAAAAATGAAATAATTTTAGGTCCATCTAATTTTAATAATACTATGAATATAAAATATTAAATTGATCAAGTGACAGAATTTTTTTCGTAACATTCATGAAAAAAAATGTATCAACTGTTTTCAACAATGATAATAATAAGAAATGTTTCTAGCACACCAAATCAGCATATTGGAATGATTTCTGAAGGATCATGTGACACTGAAGACTGGAGTAACGGCTGCCGAAAATTCAGCTTTGCATCATAAGAATAAATTACATTCCACAATATATTAAAAAAGAAAACTGTTCTTTTAAACTGTAATATTTCACAATTTTACTGATCAAATAAATGAAGCCTTGGTGTGCATGAGACTTCTTTCAAAAAAAAAAAAAAAATATAAAAAACCTAATGCTGCAGTTCTCAATGATGTAAAAGTCAGAACATGCCTTTGCAATGTCTCAGTTGGTCTCCAAGTTTTTCATTGGTTCTCAGGCAATCGGAGTCCACATAGGGAACAAAGACAAACTCCTCCAAAGTGGGCGGAGTCTGCTGCTGCTGGCGACGGGGTGCTACGGTGGTGTGAAGCCCACAGATCTGAACTCCTCCAGCTGTTATGTTGTCAAGGCAATGGTTGACATGAATGTCCACAGCTGATGAGAAGACATTTTGGTCAGATACTTTTCAAATGAAATCAGGTTACATCAGACTTCAGCTAGTTGGTGTCTAATACCTTTCTGGCCATCTGCATACTCGTTTACCCTCTCCTCATGAAGTTTGGGGTCCACATACACAGAGCGTATGCGAGTGGGCAGTCTCAAGCTGCGTCCAGGCAGCCCCACTACGATCATTTGCAGCATGGTGTCTAGAAACGTCACCCAGTTACCTGTCCAGTGAAGCTTTCCATAGTCACCTGGATGAACCAGAGTACAAAGAGCTCAGGATTGGAGAAATCATGTTTTTGACCACAACAATCTATGTTTTAGCCAATATTATCTCCACAATATAAGTTTAAAGGGGTCATATGATGCGATTTCAATTTTTCCTTTCTCTTTGGAGTGTTACAAGCTCTTGGTGCATAAAGAAGATCTGTAAAGTTGCAAAGACTAAAGTCTCAAATCCAAAGAGATATTCTTTATAAAAGTTAAGAGTCAACCACGCCTACCTAAAACGGCTCGTTCTAACACGCCCCCACATACCTACGTCACTATCTGGGAAGATTTGCATAACGCCGCCCAAATGTTCACGCAAAGAAAGAAGGCGTAACTTTTATTCTCGCTGTAGTATTGTTGCCGCCGCCGCCATGTCGTGAAGGCACTGTGTGTTTCGTTGTGAAAGCGAAACAACTTTGTTTGGCCTTCCAAAAGAGGACGATATCGCTTCCGTCATGCCTGGAGCTGATCCATGCTGGTCGCTGAGGATCTGCTTTCACCGTGGACGAAGCGGAGTCCAGCCCGGGGTCGTCACATGTGGTTGCCGCAGGCATCACAATATGGTAAGGGGAGTAACATTTCCGTCACACGCTTGAGGAATTCGGCCAATCACAACGCACTGGATAGCTGGCCAATCACAACACACCTCGCTTTTTCAGAACGATGAGCTTTGTAAAAATCAACGCGTTTCAGAAAGGCGGGGCATAGAGGAGAAAGAATAATGTACAGTATGTGGAAAATAATGTTTTTTGAACCTTAAACCGCATAAACACATTTCATTACACCAAATACACAAAGTAATGTTCTTTTTAGCAGCATCATATGAACCCTTTAAGATGCATTTGATGGGAATTACCAGCGTTGTTAGACTCCAGGATCCCCTGGAAAGTCTTGCCGTAGTCATATCCACGCAGACGCAGCTCTTTGTAGATGTCCCCGGCTTTCAAAAGCAGTTTAGAATCTTCCTTGTCTACAGCCATTGGTTTATTCAGCTCAGCATGGAAAGCATCAAGTCCAGCATCCTCCAAGACACTCACCTTACCTGAGACCACCAAGGATATCAGAGTGTGATCATGAGTCTTAAATACAATATTTGTCAATTTACAAATATCCTGTTTTACTCAAAAATGTCATAGTGAAAGCAGTTGTGAATGATGTCTCATGATGACTGGAAACTCACCACTGACGGCCAGATTTCCATTCTCCGACACCTCAAAATGGTTAGTGGCGGGCATGAGTCGCACCTCAAGCTGGACAGACCCTGTGATGCAGAGCGCAAGACAATTTGGTTAGCACTAAGCCACATCGACTAGAAGTTTGCAATTACAAGAGTCATCACTGTGAGATATAATGTGACAACTGCTAGAAAATACTGAAGAATTCCAGTCTTACAGTACAAAGAAAACAAATATTTTACCTGTCTTGGGTAGGATGGTGGCTCTATGGATGGTGACGTCTTCAAATGTAACAGGTGTGTGCTCCATGACTGCACCAAGAGATCTCATCAGAGTCCTCCAGGCCAGAACCAGGTATCCTGTGGCCGGGTACAGCACCCGACCATCAATGCAATGACCAATCATGTAGTAATCAGGAGACTCTGGATTCATATCTGCACAAAACATTCAAAATTAAGCATGATATGACAGCAAAGATGAGAAAAACACTAATTTCAACGTCACAACTACCCACCAATATTGTACACAATGGCTGAGGTGGATCCCCCTGAGCCAGCAGGGAAGTCCTCCACCTTGGGCACGTCCCAGACCTGGGAATGATCCCACTGAATGTGAGGGGAGATGAGAGGGGTCCCAGTCGGAACAGGGTATTCAACAGCTGGATACAATTTATTACTGTCCACGTTAATTCTGCAAATGCAAGAGTGTGCATCAATCATTTAACATTGCAAATGCTGACAATTTCAGGTCAAAACAGCTAGGAAGTGAAGAGTATAAAAACCAACCCATTCATGTAGCTCTTGCCCACATGAGAGAGGAAGAACTCCAGATTGTTGGCATGTCCTCTTTTCATTAGGGGAAGGATGGAGCAGGTAGGTTTTAAGCTCCGTTTCAGGATGGCCTGAAGATGAAACAAGGGTACATTAATAATAGAAATGGATCTACATGTGAATCTTCAAGACATGTATATTAGGGGTTTAGACTTTGATAAATTGATTTATGTGATGCAAAACAATTTAAACAAAATAGTTCAAATTAATAATAAAAAAAATTATAATAATACTTCCCTGTTACCTGCAGCAAAGCATGTGGGGCAATTTCTACTACCACAGCATTATCTGGCACAAATCTCAGTCCCTCCTGAAAGAGGACAGGACTGACCAAGTTATTGACATGGTACTCTGCAGATGAGTAGAGTGCCAGTGGGCTCTCCCAGTCTGCCTGCCGGATGGACGTGCTGATCCAACGTGCTGAACGAGGCCTTGGGTTCTTTATTACCTACAAGAACATGTACAGGAAGTCAGTGTCTGAGGTTTTGAGGTGCTAATGGCCACCAGAGGGCACTGTGACACTGCAATGCCTCACCAACTCACCTTCTGCAGTGCAGCCAGAAGGGCTGGAGCAATAGCGGCCATGTAATAGGAATGGAAAGCCACACCAGCACTGCGCACTTCTTTGGCAAACACACCGCTCTCTTTCAGCTGGGCAACAAACTTGCTGACAGAGTCCTGCATAACCAAACACTTACTGTTAGGTACTAGTGTGCATGCTTTCATTTTATATGTTTCAAAAATTTTATACATTTTCAATAACTGAATTTAAATAATGCAACTCCTTCATTTAAAACAAAAAAAGTAATTTCCACAAAATATTTGGCAGCAACCAAATCAGCATATTAGATCGATTTCTGAAGGATCATGTGACACTGAAGACTGGAGTTAATGCTGAAAATTTAACTTTGCCATCATCGGAAAAAAAGTACATTTTAAAATATATATTAAAAAATAAATAAATAAATAAATATTATTTTTAATTAATTCATAATATTATTTCACAATATTACTCTTTGTACTGTATTTTTAATTAAATAAATGTAGCCTTAATGAGCATAAGAGACTTATTTCAATATTCAATATATATATATATATATATATATATATATACACGCATACACACATTTTTGTTTTTACTGTAGTTTTTTTAAATACTGAAATTAAGGTGATTTTATTTCTTAGCATGTATATATACCCGAGGGCCTGAGATGGTCACTGTGTCCTCAGAATTGTGACAAGCAGGAACGACACCCTGTGGACATTGAGCTTTGCATTCTTCCCACGTTAAGCCTGAGGGGGAATATGATGGGAGGGTTGGTAAAAGGAACCAGAGGAAAGCTTGCTAAAAAATTTATAGCACACATTGCTGAACAAAAGACTAGGCAAATGCCCCATGGTGAGATGCTTTGCACTTTACGTCCGAGTAATGAAGTAAAGCCTGTGAAGGCATCTGCTGTTACACTAACCCACTGCAGCCATGCCCCCCGGGGGCAGGCTGGCTTCTTTAATACAGCGTCCTCTCCAGTAAGCAGCTAGAATGGTCTCACTGTGGCTCAGGGAGCTGTCGGCATAGCCACACGCTAGCTCTCCCACAGAGTGGCCCACGATCCCATCAGGCTGAAGACCCATCTTCTGCAACATGTCAATCTGGGCGACCTGGAAAATTGAGGTGGTGAAAGACAGCCAGCCATGGAAATAGCATTCATATCAAACCTATCTACTATCAAAAATTATTAGTTATTTTGTCTCATAACTGATTGTGATGTGACAAGTTTGAATATGCAAGTGTGCCAGTTCCACAGGAAAAAGCGGTTTGTTTGAGCAGAAAGTAAGTCACACAGGTTTGAACATGCAGGTTAAGTACAAATTGAAGGAACTGTCATTTTTTGATCTCTTTATGAGACAGACGGAGCAACTGTTGAAATCATGACTGATTGTGCCTCTGTATTGCAACATTTGGCAGGCCTACTGTATATCAGTTCCAAAGTTGACAGGGGTCATTTTTTCATTGAGAAACTCTGCTGATGTCAATCCTGCTCCAGTCACACTGGCACTGTACATGGTATCTCTAGAGCTGAGGGAGACTGACCTGGATGGCTGCAAGACCAACAAATGCTTGCACAGTGTCTTCAAAAGTGCTCTCATCAGCGTCCATGAGCAAGCGAGACACACACAACCCAGTGTGCTTTAGAGCCACATCCGAACGCAGGATCGACTCCCGGAATTCTGGCAGCTGCATCAGGGTACGGCCCATTCCAGCCCACTGTGTGCCCATACCTGTCAGGAGACAGATACAAACAAAGACAGGACACAGAAATAAAAACCCAGCCAATGTGATCATGTCTAGAGACTTTCCATTATATTGACTGACTCGGTCAAGAGGTTTATATCAGATATTTTCCTGTATTATTTATTTAATAAAAAATGAATATGTATATATTTTGTATACAATAACAATAATAATAAAAATAACAATATCAATAACAACAACAACAACAATAATAATAATAAGATTCCACAAAAATATAAAAAATATTAAGCATCAACATCGTTAATAAGAAGAAATGTTATTTGTGCACCAAATCAGCATATCAGAATGACTTCTGAAGGATCATGTGACACTGAAGACTGGAGTAATGACTGCTGAAAATTCAGCTTTGCCATCACAGGAATAAATTACATTTTAAAAGAAAAATAGTTATTGTAAATTATAATAATATTTCACAATATTATATTTTTACAGCCTTTAACAGCATAAAATCTTTCTGACCCGAATGGTAGTGTATATATAATACTCGATATTTTTTATTATTATAAAAATTTAATTAATTGTGATTTCTTTTTTAAACCTACCATTACCTTAATCTGTTCATTTTTGCTGCAGTGCCTTTAACAAATGCTTTTGCATGTAAAATGAGCAAAAAATGCTTTGATCCGCTTACAAACCTTCCCTCAATTTACTTTTATTGTTCTTTTTGTGTTTAGGACTAATTAGTATCTAATAGTACCAGCTTTCTTGTTTTTATTTCACCATGACAGCATCAGAAAATAGTTTTTCAGCTTGGTTCCAATAAAAGCTCTTTCTGTTTCTATAAGTTACAGTATGTATTTTATGGTACATCAAGTTCTCTTAGCACAAAAAGGTTGAGGGAAATAAGATTTGTTCACCATGAAAAATAAATGCCCCCTCACCTGAACAAATGTACCAGAGCGGTTTGGGTGTGGGCTGGGCTTGCTGAACCTCTGTAAGCTCTCCCTGTGCTCCGATCAGTGCATAGCCCCTGTACGGCATGCCTGCCGTTGGAACTCCAGACACATCATTCAGAAGAGACAGGTAGCTTGGGTTATCCTTATGCTGCTGGGCGTTGTTGAGGAGGGAAGTGACCGCCTCCTCAGTGCGACCAGAGGCCTGCAGGAGTCTGGGGACTGAAGGTTGTGCAGACTGAGCCAGCGTTTTTTTATCATGTGGACGTAGGATAACATGGACATTTGAGCCTCCGAAGCCAAATGAGTTGATGCCCACGATGCCACCACGGACAGTTATGGGCTCCGACACCACATGCACCCGGCCGTCTGTCAGAGCAGGAATGTCAGGGTTTGGATCGTGGAAATGGATGTTGGGAGCCCAGACGCCATGTTCCAGAGACAAAACCACCTGATCACATGCAACATGAGTTACTTGATTTACTTCACATTTTGGATGTGGGATTCAGCTTTCAGATTTTTAAAGAAAATCAGTTTATCTACCTTGGCAAGAGCCGCCAATCCAGAGGCAGGCTCTGGGTGTCCCATGTTGGATTTGGTAGAGCCAATCAGAAGAGGATCCCTCTGTGACTGACAGAATACACTCACAATGCCATTCACTTCCTGAGGATCCCCAACCTGTAAGAGTTATTTTCAATATACACATAACAAGCTGAAAAACTATTGCTCAATGACTGCATTCACATACACAAGAATATGATGTATATTTAAGTTATATTTAATGTTTTACATTAACAAAAAAACTTTTTTTAAATTTCCTCCATTTCCACCAATTGATTTTTGGGTTGCAAACCTTTAAGAAATGTCCCATTTGCATGTGAATTGGGACTCCTTTTGCTTTTTTATTATTATTTTGTATTTTATTGTTTATTGTATTATTGTAGTATTTTTTTTATTCTTTTATTTAATATTCATTTACTTGTTTATTTATTGGAATACAGACCTTAATTGGAAAATGGTGTGCATGTAATCATGGCCATTATAAATCCGGCACATATCAAACCCATTCTTCTTTCCAAATAAATCTCTTTTTTAAGTATGCATGTAATTTCACAGTGACTGACCTTAGTACCGGTGCCGTGGGCCTCGATGTACTCCACCTGCTCAGGTGATATGTTGGCCTCCTGGTAAAGGGAACGGACCAGGCGCTGCTGCATCTCACCTGATGGGAATGTCACCCCTGAGAAAAGAGGAGACATACCACATTCCAGAATATGAGCAGATTTACACGGAGCAGTTCTGACATATGCCTTTCTGGAACGCACATGTGAGCTACACCATGGATTCTTCTGTACTCAATGTAGCAGCACAAGACGCGCAATAGGAACTAGAGGGGCCTGATATCAGACGTATGCCAGAGATTTCAAATACCTTCAGCCCTCACGATCAGCCAAGTGTCATGTTTAAAAACACTGGCGTGTAAATTGTGGCAGGAGGCACTGGGGGAAAGGCCAGCATCTACGACACGTATAGTGCCAGCATTCACAGTAATGCCAGGCTTCCAGAGCGAGTAAGCAGGTATTAACTGAGTTGATGTCACTCATGCTAGAGGATTTGAGACAGATTTGATGTTTGTGGGTGGGAGGGATGGGTTTACCTTGCTCTTTGTAGCCGTCCGTGTTACTGCCTGTGTTGAGAACTGTGGCGTAGATTCTCTTGGCCATTGACTTCTTGGTCAAGAGTACTGCGACAGCAGCCTCTGATGCAATTAGCATATTACTACTTAAAACCTTTATTGTTGCATAGAGCATGCTGCTTAAAATACTATTTATTCAGTATGAACACTTAGAAGGCCATATTCTTATAATTGTTATGCAATGATTGATGCTTATAGAACCAGATTCCTTTAATATCGTTCTGAGAAAAGCTGTAGACCAGGGGTGGGGAACCTTTTTTCTATCAAGGGCCATTTACATTTTTGTAACATCCTTTAAGGGCTACTGCCTGTGTTGAGAACTGTGGCGTAGATTCTCTTGGCCATTGACTTCTTGGTCAAGAGTACTGCGACAGCAGCCTCTGAGCGACAATAGCCATTTCCTAGAGGGTAAAACAAAAAAAACTTTGTGCAGTACACAAATTTTTCCCAATTTATGGAATACTACTTTTGTACAGTATTTAGCAAATCGCATAGCGTTGGGTATTATATCAAAAATGCAATGTGCTCAACTCAGGGTTATTATAGTTAACTACAACTAAAATTAAAACCACAAAAAACAATTTTTTTTTGTTATTTTAGTTAACATTCCTTATTTTAATTCAGTTTAACTTGATGTAATACGTGCATGTTTCGCGTTCACGCTGACTGTGACAAGGGCAGGCAAACCCATTTTATATTATTATATATTATCTATAATATTATATTTCTATAATATTATATTTCTATTTTTATTATATTTTTTGTCATTTTCTATCACAGGAAAAATAACTGCTGTCTAGCTTCCCCCCCGAAGAAGGAGGGGGGATTTTGAATTGACTGATGGGCCGGATCAAACTGTCTCGCGGGCCGCATACGGCCCGGGGGCCGGACGTTCCCCACCCCTGATTTACAAAAAGCGCGACATTCTGCATCTACTTTTCTTTTCTTGCCTGTAGCCATGATGCTTATCAGTGATGACAACCGCGAACTTTACGTGCATGTTTCGCGTTCACGCTGACTGTGACAAGGGCAGGCAAACCTATTTTATATTATTATATATTATCTATAATATTATATATCTATAATATTATATTTCTATTTTTATTATATTTTTTGTCATTTTCTATCACAGGAAAAATAACTGCTGTCTAGCTTCCCCCCCGAAGAAGGAGGGGGGATTTTGAATTGACTGATGGGCCGGATCAAACTGTCTCGCGGGCCGCATACGGCCCGGAGGCCGGACGTTCCCCACCCCTGCTGTAGACGTTACAGTGATCTAAGTAATCTCACCTGAGGCATCAAATGACTTGCATGTTCCTTCAGGACTGAGCATGCCCAGTTTCATGAACTGCACTGAGGTGTTGGGCTTGAGCAGCAGGTTGACTCCGCCCACAAGAGCTGCATCACATTGGCCATGGCGAATAGCATTGAAGGCATTCTCCAGAGCCAGCAGACTAGATGAGCATGCTGTGTCAATGGCTGTACTCGGACCTGAATGTTCGTAGTACATCAAACACAACAGTTAATGGCTGATCACATTTAACGATTCTTGCATAAAGTGATTTAAATAATCCATCTCAACTGGTTGCACCACTCTAACGTGATAGTACGACTCAAGATACACCAGTGAAAGACGTGACTGTGTAATGAGTCACTTATTCAAATCACCTCAGAGGACACATCACACCATACAGAAAGAATGAGGACACAGTCTTTCAAAACAAAGGTTCTGACAACTCAGTTCTGTCCTACAATGTGCACGAGCATCGAGTCAGTAATTAAACTTGTTATGTTTGCATACCATTGAAATCAAAGTAGTAAGACAAGCGGTTGGCAAACATGGCCCGCTGGCATCCTGTCATGCTGTATCCCAGCAGCTCCTCTGGGTCTTTACTGAAGGCCTCTCCTGCCTCTGAGCCACTTACTCCAATGTAGACGCCAGTCTTGCTGCCACGCATAGACACCGGGTTTATGCCTAAAGGGAAAAAAAAATCGACATGTTTTATTTTCACAAAGTCAGAAAAGAAAAAAAATTCAAATTAGGTTTAAAAAATGAAATAAAAATGAAAAATCTGTTAACATAATATAATTGCTCAAGAGACCATTCTTATTATTATCAATGTTAAAAACAGTTGTGCTGCTTAATATTCTTGCGGACACTGTGATAGACATTTTTCAGGATTCTTTGATGATTAGAAAGTCAAAAAGAACAGCATTTATTTAAGAGAAATCTTTAACATTATAACTGTAAAAGACCTGACTCACAAGAATAATTCGTTTTGTTTGTGATATTATTTTTTCCCTCCTGCGTGTTACAGAAAACTGTCTCGATGTTATATGCCTGAAATTCCACCTTTACTACGCCAGTCTGCATCTGGTTAAACTACAGATCCAGAACTGACACGATTAATAATATGCACGCTTACCTGGATGTGGGTACAGTTTAACGCTGTGTTTCTCGCAGATCCTTTGGGATAGAGTCGACTTTATTCCTCGTAATCTTTGTCGGCTACCGGTACAGAATGGCGAGTTTCGTGATCCCCCCCCCTCCCCCTTTGGCCAAGCCCTAGAAATTACTCTCGCCCTTCTGGGTCCCTGTGTCTGTTTCATTTAAATGTCTGACATCCTCGGTGGCCACGCCACATGGGCTGACAGTTTGGCTGTGAGGTGCAGTCCAATGAGAGAGGAGGCTGGGCTGTAGACGCAGCCAGTGATGGGCTGATTTCCTACCGCCGCAGAGAAAAAATGCTTCTAAAAAGACCGGGTTACTGAAGTTCATCCCGGTATGATTACATGCACAGCAGCACAAATGTGTGCTTTTACGGGTCGAGGAAATTCAAGTTCAAGTTGACCCAGGTCGTGTGTCTGCTGTTTGCAAACAATGTGAAATTGGGTCAATTTAGCACGCAACACTGGATTGCTATTGAAACTCAACATCGATATTTTATCTGTCATAATTGTTCATTACGTATTTACAGTATGATTACTTGTTTAAACATAAGAAATGGCATCAAGAATTAAAATGATTGGATATAATTATAGCTTTAATTTTAGCCTGTTTAAATATTTATACAATTTCCTACAAATGGTTTTCAAACATTTTCAAAGTCAATTTCATGAATCTAGGTTTTCTAGTGTTTCCTAAAGAATTCTTAATAAAATAGATTTCTTAATGTTCTTTTTTTTGGTCACTCCATATGGGTTCTTGCATGTTGGTTATACACTACGCTGACTTTAATTAACTGGACAAAACGTTTTCAAATTTAATATTTTTAAACAAAATTGCTTCACTGATTTTCTTTTCTTTAAGAAAAACATCATACCAAACTACTGTCAACATCTTTTTTTTTTTTTTTTTAAGAATTTCAAACATTTTACAATGTCTAACCTCATACAGTATATTCATTATAGAAAGGTATTCAAGTCATTTCTCATATAAATTAATACAATTTTAAATAACCAGAGAGAATCAGTGTGCTTTTTTTGTTGCATAACACAGAAGAGTCATATTAATGCATCATTTGGCTTTTTTATGGCAAAGGGTCCAATCTAAATAGAGCAGTCAAATATGCACACTATAAATTTGGGGTGGAAAAATACTGAGTACATTGTTTAAATTGATGTTCGTCTAATACACATTATTGATGTAACTGTTGGTTAGATGCAGAAGTAACAGCACGTGAAGGCAGCACACAGATTGTTGTAGCAGGTGTCTATCGGCGGCGCTATGAAGCTCTGGAGACACGTGAGAGACAGTGGATGAAATTTTGACGGTTTCCAGTGGAAAGACATTCACCAATCAGTGAGCGGAGGTGTGTAGAACCAGCCAATCAGAATGAATGCAAAGGTGTTGCTAGGAGATAGGGCGATGTCAGGACAATGGTGGGAGGAGTGGAATCCTACACCTGCTGAGGCTGTGATGTCATCGTGAGGGGCTGGACAGCGCAGGGTTACTGCAGTTCAGAATGTGAAGTGTCATCGTATCAATCCTATTATAAAAATAGTCCTGTCTGACTACATTTCACGCGTATTTTGCATGAGTTCTGTAAAGGGAAAATTGAACCAAATGTTCATGTGCCTATTTAAATGTTTACTGATAAATTGAAACTACATTATCTGTACGCCAGACCAGCTATCATCATAGGTGCTTCTTATTATAAAAGACTCACATGTTTATTGGTCAAATTATGCAATAATTTATTAGAACATTTACAAAAGGTACAAATATGAAAAAAATCTTGCATGATGCAAAGTGAACAGATAAAAATTTATCACTTCAAATAAGACAGTCCTTTAAAGCGAGTGGCCCTAAATGATGCCTTTTTTCAATTTTTGATGTTGTAATTCTGAATCTTGCTCTTATTTCCAGTAAGGTGGTATTTTTAGCAGGTGCAAATGTTTTATGACTTTGTTTCTTCTTTTCCTGGAGTGATGCTTTCGTGCCTTCCACACCGGCCGGTGGAGCAGGAAGCTGATTAATATTTGGGAGTCCTCTGTTTGCTGTAGCCACCCTACCTGAGAGCACAAAATGATGAGGGTTTAAATCCTCATTTTAAAATTGTAAATCCCATGTAATGTGGTGGCTGAAAGTCAGTACTGGTAATCAAAAATTATCTGGTTTGATCCCTGTAGCCATGAGGCATCACTACTGTGATCTTGAGAAAAGCACTTAAAAGAAGAGTGCTTCAAGAAAAAGACATTATGTAAATGAGAAATGACATCACTTTGTCTGGATCTATGAAGTTATTAAAAATAATGTATAATAAAAATAATTTATTCAAATAAATGACTCGAATACACCTTTTGTATAATAAGCAATGACCTTTAATTCAAAAATTTAGATTTCCTAATTAAATGTCTTTTTTGGTGGTGCTTAAAGTAAAAAAAGTGGTGTACCTTTTTAAGAAAAGGCAAGGCAGGTTTGAAAACATTTTAGTTCATTTAATGTGTAAATCAATTGTTGTAGAAAAGACCAATACAAAGATTACATTCCTAAGAATTGGTGTTTTACATGTATGTGTTTAAAATTAAATGTCTTAAAGATTTCTCCTTCTTCATCTCCTATTTGTCATTGACCCAAATAGACGTCAACAGCACTTGCAATCAGATATTAGCATCTTTAATCTTTCCGACAGAGAAAAAAAATCAAAACTATTTACCTGTGCATGTGACTGATGCTGAAATGCTCTAAGTAAATATAATTTGATATTTGGACTAAATGATTTACTATGAATAAACGCTGACACTGAACCTTAGGTTGTATGATTGCAGAGTTGTCATTGCAAGTACCTATTTCGGTGCCAAGGTTTTCAAATGATGCAATTTTTAGTCAACTGGACTTTGTTTTCAATTTATTGAAGACATTTTGCCACTCCTCTAAATGGCTTCATCACCTGTCTGATGAAACTGATGTACCACCATGACGTGACACAGCCATTAAAGAGCCACAATTCAAGGAAAGATACTGTAAGAAATACAATGTCCAAAGAGAACTACAAATATTAAAAAATATGCCTATATAGACTATTCTCATTCAAAATCAACCTGTCCGGATGGATCTTTATTTCATGCCAGTATAAGACAATGTCTATTGAAGAGACAAGAGCAAAACTTGGCCTGACTGGTTAAAAAAAAAATCAAATGGCTCTATGGTCTAATCAGCATTATGACCATAGATTGGGCAAATTTCATTTGGCTTTGAGTCCAATCATGCAGCTCTGTCGTGATTCCCCCAATTTACAAAGCAATTCTGATCAAATCTGATCCTTTGTCTTGACAAATCAAGTTACGAAATTACATACACAGAAGATAATGTGCAGTAATCGGTTTACTCATTCAACATGGCTAAACAGTCAATAATGATATTCAATAAGTTCAGTAATGAGAGGAGAACTACAAAGGAAGTTGCTTGATCATGTTTTTAGCTTACCGACTAGTATTTGTTGCAGTTAAACGTCTTAAGTCTGACAGTATCGCAGGCGCAGTACAACACTTATATGATTGAATATAAATGGTCTATAGACAGAAGTGGCTCATTTATGACTTTTCTCCTCACCTTTGTCCTCACTGTCACTTGTAGAAAACACAGAGGAACTCAAACCTCGATCCAACATCTTCCACACATCTGTAGTGCCTACAGATGACAACAGAAAGTGGAGTGACCCGAGCAGTCCTACTGGAGCTTCAGATTGGTTCTGCGGAGGAGTGTTTTCTTTACTGCCCACAGACTTGAGGAAGGAACAGAGAAAAGGAACTCAAACATTGAAACAACAACAAAAGACTCACACTGTTTATAACCAACGTTCAAAAATTTGGGATCAGTAAGATTTTTTTTAAAGGGTGGTTGATTACGATTTAACTTTTTTAACGTTAGTTAGTGTGTAATGTTGCTGTTTGAGCATAAACAATATCTGCAAAGCTGCGGCGCTGAAAGTTCAATGCAAATGGAGATATCGTCTTTTAAAATTCTGGCAGTTTAATGCCTACAAAAACAGCTCGTAGGGACTACAACGGAGCAGCGGTTCTCAATACTGTTCCTCGCCCTGCTCTGCACACGCTCTGCATCTCTCTCTCTCATTCAGCTCAGCTCCAACAATGAACTGTTCCATTTATATACTTATTTTCACATAGCTATGAGAAGCGTTATACATGGACGCGCGTGCGGTTGCCGTACTGTATTAAACCTTTAATCAGCTTTAAATAAAACTGTATATTAAAAGCTAACATAAGCATAGCATTTACAAATAACAGCGTATCTAAAAGTATGAGACAACAACAATCAAAAAACATACCATTAAGAGCCGTGCTTGCACAGGTTCTGCGCGATCCTCTTCACTAATATCCTCTGCGTTTCAATCGGGCTCAAATTGATAAGCAGTATAGACGATGCCATTGTTTACAATACAACCGGAGCACATGCTCAACAGCCATTACTGTAGCCTTCAATGCCACATGATCCTTCAGAAATCATTCTAATATGCTGATTTGGTGCTCAAAAAGCCTTACTTATTATTATCAATGTTGAAAACAGTTGTGCTGCTTAATATTTTGGTGGAAACTTTGAAATAGAAATTTGTGTAACATTACAAATCTACTTTTGACCAAATTAATGCATTCTTGGCAAATAAAAGTATTAAAGGTGACATATCATGAAAATCTGACTTTTCCAGGTTTTAAGTGCTATAATCAGGTTCCCAGTGCATCTACCAACCAAGGAAACGTGAAAAAGATTAACCTAGTAACTTTGTTTTGGGAAGCCTTTTTCTGCAAGCGTCTGAGAAAACGAGCGCGTCTGATTTCGCTCCCTTGGTGATGTGGCAAAGGGATTTCATTATAATATTAACGCCCCTCAATCTGTACGTTTACACCCACGGCGCCGTCATTTCATTTCGCAAGCGACAACGGTGTAACAGCTTTAATGCCATGGCAAAAGTTTGAGCAAAACATGCTAACTGTTCTGTTTTTGGCTGCACAGACGAGCACAGAACACTATTTACAGTCCCAGCCTCAGAGGAGACAAGCAGTGGTTTTATTGATTTATTTAATGTATATTGCTGCTGCCGCACAGATCTAAAATAAACATGCGATTTATTTCCCAGCTGTTTACCTTCACAGACATAACCGACTGTTTTTTGTAACTCACGTGTGTTTTTAACGTAAACCTGTGTGTGAATGAGAACTTAGTTTAGTACTCACATGCTGTGACAGCCACTTTCTGTC